CCAGGTAGGGTAGGGATCATCATCATAGAATCACCATCATCATCTCCACACGCAGCTCCTGATTGCAGTAATTTGGGTTTCTGCTGTTCCTCCCCTGTACCAGCTCATCAGATGTGATTTCTTTGCATCAGAGATGCTTTCTTCTGGGAAGTCTCAGGTATCTGGCAGGCAGTGGGAAGCTCACTAAGCTGTCTGCATGCTCAAGTTACTTGCACTGTGGTCATCAGTGTCCCATCTTCCTCTGGCTCCAGCCAGGCTCCCACTCCTGATGTTCCTGAGAAGGTGCCACCACAGCAGGTCCTCCACATGAAATGTGCCGAGCTGTGTCTGACTAAAGCCCTTGCAGGAGTGCCCAGGATAGGCTTTCTTGTAAAAACAGGAAAGGAAAAACTTCTCTCCTGCAGCTTAAGGTATTCCATAAACCATTTCCTTCTGCACTCAGGTAACACAGAGGAGACTGTTCAGGACAAGCCATGGTCTTGACCTCATGCCTTTCTCCACCCTGGATGAGTGACTCAAACAACAGGAAACCAGGGGATCCCTTTCCAGGCTGTGAGGTTTTGCTCTAAAAGAGAAAAGCCCGAACTATCCCTCTCATGCTATTTTCGTGTATGCTGTGAGGCCAGGAGCCAGCAGGTGATGCTCTTGGGAAGGCCGTGGCTGCCAAGATACCAGGAGAGGGGACTTCATCCTGTATGACAATGGACCAGAGAGGAGAGAAAGGGCAAAACCCCTCCTCTGCCCCTTCATTTAATTGTGTTGTTCTGCAGACAATGCGTTCCCTTTGTGTTCAATGGGTTAAACTGCTGGAAACAAGCAGCAGACTGGTGTAGTCTAAAAATACCCCAGCTGTGCTGACAGCCAAAGCAAGCAGAGGCTCCCAGGGGCTCTTTCTATTCCAGCACCATGTGGGTGCCCCAGCTGGCTGACACTGCCCCAAGTGAGACAAGTCTGAGGAGCAGGATGGGTGTCACAGCCCCTCACAGCCTCGCTGCACATGGTGCCTTCACCCTCTGCTTCCCAGCTGCTCCAGAACAGCAATCCTGAGCTCCCACACATCCCTCTGCCCCTGGCACTTGCTGGGTTCAGGTGCAGCAGGGCCTGTTTGTTCAGCCAGGTGATTGCAAGGGGCTGAACAAACAGACTCATTAAAGACAGGCCAGGACATCTCCATCACCTCCCCTGTGTCCCTAAAAAGGCTGTATTAATTCATGATTTAGAATAATCCCATATTTCATTGCAGATTGGGTGTTTTCCATTGGGAAGATAGAAGAAATGCTTGCTATAATTTACTTATGTTACACTGGCATATCTGCATTGGGTGTTCAGTTTATATCTGCTTGTGGAGTTGCTGGTTTGTGATTGCTGGTTGCACTCACAACCTGAGACCTTTTTGGACTGCTGATTTATTTGGCCAACATCTCCCCAGCAGCTGGCATTCCAGGTTTAGGATTTCCAGACCGTAGGGATTCAAGTGTCTGACTGCCTGGTCAGGGAGGGAAATGGTTTGGTGCCCCAGCTCTGAGGCAGCCAGGTGCTATCAGCAGATACAGCTTGCTTGCCTTCCTTCTCCTTCTCCTCTCCACCTCTCTGTTTCCAGATGCAAATAATTCCATATCTGGCAGTGTGTAACCACGATGGCTTCCTAAGGGAAAAACATCTACTTTGGCAAAAGCATTGAAGACTCTTACTCCTGCTTCACATTCTCAAGCATATGTGGAGCAGAGGGAAAATGCTTCCATCCTATGGCTGCTGGCACAGCCAAAGTCTTGAGTTCAAAAATGCCAGCAAGCTCCCAAAAATTGGCTCATCATAAGTAATAAAGAAAATGCACTGACACTGGAAAAATGAATCGGCTCCTGTGAGTAGGAAAGTGGCCTGAAGATGAATCAGAAGTCAAGGTTCATGAGATTTTAATCCCAGTTTCTGTATCTATTCCCAGTCCAGAGGAGGACACTTAAATGCTTTGTTAGCTTTATTCCTTTCTGAATGGGACTAGACTTTAGCTTAGTCACTGTGGTATTTAGGGCATTAATTGGCTAATTCAGCACCTTGCTCTAATGATGTAAATATCTTAAAAGCTTCACTGGAAGGATTTGAAGCTGTAGTTTAAGAATTATTGCCCATTTTTGACCTCTCTTTGTAACACATCTCGGAAGAGTTAAAGGTTAGGCAAGAGGGGAAGATTTTAATTTTAAAAAGAGACAGGCATTTCCATTTGGCAAGATTTTGCATCCTGATGGAAAAACATAAACACCCAGCCTCTGATCTTGCCTCAATCCATATTTAATCTCAGAGAGTGCTGTGGTGCAATTTTGAAGACAACACTTTCAGGAAGCAGGAGGGAAATATTCCAGGCTTCCCTCTGCTTTGATAAACTATAAAGGGAAAAAAGGTGGGTGAAGCAGGGCAAAGATGTCACATAATCCCACACAGGGGACACAAGAGACGTGGAAGACAATGCCACAGAGCAAAAGACAGCTATGGGGAGATTTACACAACATCCTTTGGGATTATAATGACTTTCCCTTTCCTCTCTGCAGATCCTTTTGTTTTTGTGGATAAGGGGATGAAACCCTGCCCGTGAAAGCCCGAGGAAGAAGCCCATGGGTGGTTCTCATGCAGAAGATGCTGCCCTTGTCCCCGGCAGTGATGCTGTGCTGTAGGGCTGTTCCCCCTGCCCCAGCAGCACTCCTTCACTCCCCTCCATCCCTGCTCCATGCCCAGCTCTGGCAGGTGCCACAGGGAGGGGGTGGCAACAAGGAATTGGATCCAGCCAGCGGCAGGAACACAAGCGCGGCTTTAGGAGCTGCTGGAGTGTTAGGAAGATGCTGGAATTGAAGCTTGCAGAGAGAGGCAGGATTAAAAATAGGCTGTAGCCAGCCTTCCCCAGCATTTTGGCATCTCAGCTGCCTGTTATCCTTGTGACCCACTAAGGAAGAGGCAGCAAAGGAAGAGATTTTCTCTTTCACCTCCCCAGCAGTGCAGGACAAAATGGTATTTTGCTTCTAAGCAGATGGTTCTGCTCTCTTGGTCTGATAAGATTTACTACAAGGGTGTAAACTGAGTGTTTTGTCCCTGTCTTCAGTCCAACCAAGGGACTCCCACCTTCCCCTGAGTTCAACGAGGCACTCATGTGCACTGAAGATGTGCTCATTCATTCACATCTCACAGGCTGTTTGCAGGCTTCCATCCTTTAAGAGGAAAAAAAGGCAGTTTTTGTAGAAACTATCATTTTAATTCAAGATACTGATGAAAGAAGGCATTTCACAGAACTGTGTTATCCAATACAATCAACATTGCACCTTGGTTCTTACCTTAGCAATGCTGTATTTGTTTAGAAAAACCCAAAGACAATTCATAATGCTGAGAGGTGTTGAAATCCATACTTAGAAAAGGTGCCTGAACCTCCTGGCCAACAGCTCATATTTTAGAGGAGTCAGGAACTGCTTCTTCTGCTCCTTACCCATAGTGTGTATTTCTTCTTGTTGGTTGTGGGACAGACAAGGCTTCCCTGAGCTGTGAGTTTCAGCCAGCCATGAGCACAACATAGCAGCTAAAAGTAAAAAATCTGCCTTATCCAAGAGTGTAAATTTAGGAACAATCTTTGTGAAAGGCTGCTGAGGTGTAGTTTTTGTTTTTTTTTTTCCCAGCTTTAATTTTCACACATCAACAAGATCCTTCATCTGAAACATTTTAGGAAGTTTGAAGTGAGGTTGCAAGATTTGTAAGTTGGTCTCAAGCAGAGCTAAGGGTTGCCACACCAGGTCCTCAGTAGTTAGTTAGAAGTAAGTATCTGTGGATCCCCGGGTCGGGGGGGATTCCCTGGTCTAGGGAGACACAAGAAGCTTCCCTCAAAAAGCTCTTAGACCCCATTGGCTCCTTCCCCTGTTCCTATGTCCGTTCCTATGTCCCTGAGGTACTCTTCCCTATTCCCTGATTGGGCCTCATCTTTGTACTGCCCCGAGACCAGGGTCAGCACAGGCCCCTGGGGAGAAAAAGCTGGACCCTCCCCGTGTGTGTGTGTGGGACTCGAACATCTCACTGCGCAGCTGAATAAAACATCTGTGGATATTATGCAAAGGCCCTTTTTGCTTCCTTACCCTGGACTATGCTAGCAGCAATTCAGAGTGCTACAAGTATGATGTAGTATATTTATAGTATAGTGTAATGCAATATAATATAGTTTTAATAAAGCAAGCATTCAGCATTCCTTGGAGTCAGATGTCAATTGTTTCCCTCCATCGGGGGCCCTGATTTTACTATACCCAAGGTGTGCTTTTTCCACCTGTCGGAACCCAGGACATCCTTCTGCGTGCCCTGCATGGCTCCAGCCCCTGGCAGGGGGCTCGGGAATCCTGGCAGGAAGCCAAAGACACTTGGGATTTCAATCTTAACCCATGGAGCAAATTAACAACCTTGTATGAAGAATTACAAGTCACAAAAAGTTTAAGTAGAATGATAATGAATTTAGCACAGGGTGAAAAGTGGAATTTTGGGGATTTTTACTATAGGGGTCTAGGAGGCAAGATGGAGGGATTTGGGTGTTGTCCTGTCCTTCTTCCTTCTTCTTCCTAGCCTCCATCTTCTGTGTCATGTTGGCACTTTTGGATTGGTTTAGGGTAGAAGTAGACAGTCTAACGTAAGTGATAGGTATTGGATAATAATGGTAAATAAAGTACACGTAGTTTGTAGTATTAAATGTTGGCACCAACCCAAGGGTGGGCAGTGTGCCTTGGACAGACCTGCTAGACAGATCTTTGCGGGTCAGGAAAAGAATGTATTAGATAAGAGAAAATAAACAACCTTGAAAACCAGAGCCAAGGAATTCCAACTCCTTCTTTGACCATCGGGCTGGGAAAAAAGGACTCTCTGGGTCATCCTGACCGCAGGAAACCCGAGATCCCCCCTGCTCTTGCAGCACAGGGAGCGAGGTGGTCTGGGGAGCAGGAGGTGGTGCCGTGGCTCTCACGGGATGCTGTGCTGCTGTGTGTCCCCAGGAACGTTCGTGTCGGCGTTCACAGTGCTCTGCGGGGCGCGCACCGACCTCCCGGACCGGCACATGTGCTGCGTCTTCTGGCTCAACATCGCCGCTGCCCTCATCCAGATCCTCACGGCCATCGTCATGGTGGGCTGGATCATGAGCATATTCTGGGGCATGGACATGGTCATTCTGGCAAGTAAGTGCTGGGAACTCACCCTCCTGACTTCTCCTCTCCGCGGCAATGGTGCTGCATCCCAGATAATGTCCCTGCGAGCCACTGGGCTGCACCGTAGGGAGGAAGAGCCGTGGGATGGGCTCTGCAAGTCCATGAGAAACACAGTAGGCAGAGAAATTGCTGGGAGGTAGTGGGAATGGGCTCTGTGACGTATCTGGGGGAGTCTCCCATCCCACCACATGGGCCAGGAACTTCCCTGTATGAAATGAAACGTGCAGGAAGGGGGAGCACTGTGAACTCTGCTGTCTGGAGCCCCTTCTGCCCTGGTCACATCCATTTGAACAAGAAAACCCTTTCTCCCTAAATCTGTGGTTAGTGAGACCTTCTTGCTAGGCCAGTTCTGCTCCCAGTGCATCTATCCCCAGAAAAGCTCTGGGGACTCTCCTGGACCCTCCTCTCCCTCCCCAGGATACATTTACCCATTGTTTTGGAGTGTTTTTTTCATGTTTCAGACCAAGTTCTGAGGCTTAGCCACAAGTGTTTTGCTGCTCCTAGAACAACGTCCCATGCACCCTTTGAGTTGACTAAAACATTAGCTTAAGGAAAGAAGAATCCTTTTTCAAATGCTCATAATTGAAGTCACCAGTTAGTAGATATTACCAATCCAGAAGACAGGCTCAGTAACTTCCATCTGGTAGAGGCTTTCACTGGTGTAAAAGTTGTGTCATATCTCCTGTATCCTGGCACAGAGGATGGAGGTAACAGCCTCATCTCACCTCCAAAGCCAGAAGCAACACAGAGCTCAGGGTGCTGGTGGCATCTGCAAGACCCCACTCCCTTTCCAGAGGCTGATGGGCAAGCCCTCAAACCAAAGAGGTCTGAGACCTTTCAGGCTGACAGGACAGGCCATTCCCAAAGCAAGCCCTTCTCCCAGAGACCAGCTTTGCCTTTTGGTTTGAAGAGGCTCCACTTTGTCATCCCTGCTGATGACATCTGTGGCTGCATGACAGAGGGGGAGAGAGGATCTCAGGAAGTTGCCAGAAACCTTCCCAAAGACAAAATGGATGAAATTGAAAAAAAAAAAAGCATGCAGGAAACCAGTGCACATTTTCAGCTGCAAACCACCTGCTAATTTTTGAGCCAGTTCAGTTAAGGCAGTCCCCATGCAGAGCAAATGATGGATATTAAAAACCTGAACATGTTCAAAGCAAAAGCTTTCCTCAGGATGAAGGCAGTACTGCTCTTTGCTTTACCCTGCAAGCCACTTGCCACGTTTTCTTCCAGATGTACCTGCAGAGCAGGTTATTTCTGAGGCTAAATTGTGAACTGGTGTACACGTGTGATGTGTCTTCAAGAATCTGCCAGCTTTGTGTGTAGTGCCATAAATGCATGTTCATAACCATCGACTCTTGTGCTCTTCCTCTGCGGGGCAGCCCCTGTGTGCAGGTCGCTGCAGGTCACAGGACCCCACTCTGCAGGTGTGGGGAGAGCCAGGAAAGCATCTGTCCTGACAAAGAACCACCACTGAACCTGTGACTTGCTTTGCTCCAAAGCCCTGCTCTACAGCTAGAGGGGTTGGTGCTTAGGAGGGTCTTACTGGGGGGTCTTCTCCAATTTCACTGCTGGGGAAAACCATACAGCTTGGAAGTATCTCCAAAGCACTCCTTCCCACACCTGGCTGGATTCCACCAGTTTGGGAGGCAGAGGATGGATGAGCAGCATGTGGTGGGAGTGCTCAGGGCAAGAGGTCCCCAAGCACAGCAGCAGTATTTCGTGCCTCTGGTGGTAGTAAAGAATGGCAAGAGGAGTCAACCTGTCTTATGTTTTACCAGTGGCAAGACAAGCTGCAGCCCTTGGCAGTTTCTTGCCATCTCATTAAATAGCTGATTTTAAGTTTACTTGCCGTGTAGAGAAAGTAGTGGCTAAAGGCAGCAGCTCTGGGTGGATGGAGAACAAAAGAAAAACCTTGATTGAAACAAAGAATGAAGTGACTGGTTGCTCTTACCTGTATCAAACAGCCCTGCCAGACTCAAAGTGGGTGATTCTTGTTATCATATTTGAAAGAAAAAATAATAACTTAAGAAGGAAACCATGTTTCTAATGCAAGAAATAAGACATTTCATTTAAGAACACTGCCAGTTTGCTTTGGTTCGGTTTTGTTTGGATGCAAACCATTGGATGCACTGAACAGAAACCATACACCACTGCAACTTGAATCTGGGTGCAGATGGGAAATAGCTAAAAAAGTGTGAAACTACTGCCCACCTCTAGTCCCCTTGTCTTGGAATGGTCAATCCTATGTGTCCCTGTGAGGGTGCCAGGCTATTTGGATGGGCTAAAGGCAGGACATCTGGTCCTGTCTAAGCTGGTGAGGGCCAGCAGTGAGGGTGAGGGTGAGAAGCAGCTGAGGGCCAGGAACTCAGCTTAGGCTTTCCCTAAGGGATAATCACCTCACTCCCTGTACCTGGGCCTGCCTCTCTGTTAGCTGGTAGAGACTTGGGAGTGAGTTAGAACCACAGAATCATAAAATCACTGAGGTTGGAGAAAACCTCCAAAATCATTGAGTCCAAGTCTTAAACCATCACCATCGTGTCCACAACTGAGCCACGTTCCCCAGGTGCCACATCCACATGCCTTTTGAACAGGAGACTCCTTCCAGCTTTTCATCTTCTAGTGCTATTTCCCAGGCACGGAAAGGGGGAGTCTGGTCTGAGAATAATGGCATACTGTCCTTAATGAGGGAAAAAGGAGAAGAATTACAGGCCAATCAGGTATGCTTCAGTTCCTGGAAGAAGTAATCAAGTAAGTGACTTGCATGCATTTAGAAAATAAAAAACACCCCCACAAAGTCACCGTGGGTCTGTCCAGAGGGAGCTGTGTCAGACTGGCTTGATTCCCTTCCATGGCAGAGGAATTAATTTCGTGTGAGGTGGCAGCAGTCAGCCATCCCTCCTAACCTTCAGATGCTGACCCCGTCTCACACGGCGTTCCTACCAGCAAGCCAGGGGGACGTGGCCTGAGTGAAAATGCACTTGAGGACTTTCCTCTAAATGGATTTTCCTGACATGGGAAGAGATAAAGAGAGGTATATTGAAAGGTCCCTCCTGGATGCAGCTCTGCTCAGTATTTTCATTTGTGGCTTGAGGATGGGCTGGAGAGGAGGCTCCCCAGCCGCACACCGGCACTGGCTGCGAGCATGGCAGGAACAGCGAGGGCAGTGCCCAGATCCACACTAACCAAAGAAATGGTCTGGAAACAGAAAGTGCTACTCAGCAGGGACAAGCCCAGGACGCTACAGAAGGACTAATCAAATAAATACACACTAGGAAACAACTTGTTTTTCAGGGAAGGACATGGTGGCTGCAGTGAGTCACAAGCGGCACAGGGGAAACATTGCTGCAGAGAGAATGAACACCACACAGGCAGGTGGGAGCAGGGCTTGGAGGGCTTTCGCTGATCCTATCACCTCTCTCTGCATGCATAAAGCTGTAGTGAGGCTTGTGGCCAGCTTTAGAGGCTGTACTTCAAGTGGAAAACTCTGGAGAGAGTCCAGAGAACTGTAAGAGAGTAGGCATGCTGATGATGAAGGTGTTCAGTGGGCTAGTAAATGTGAGAGGGCAGCAGTTCAGCCTAAGACAGACTTGAATAACACCAGGAAGGATCTGTGTGGAAATTAGAGGACATTTTTCCTCCAGTAAGGTCAAAATGCTGCAGAGGTGGCATGGCAGGATCTGCTCTCTCTGTCCCTGGAAGACTCCAAGAGTGGATAGACCCATGTCTGTCAGGGACAAGGTGGGACACAGCAAGAGACTGACCTGGGGGTCCTGTCCAACCCTCATCTCCTCTAGGGTGCCCTTTAGCAGGATAATATCCCAGAAGGAAGATAAATTGAATGCAGTTTTGCTGTCACACTTAATTACTTTTGGCAGCACCACAGCACAGGGCATTTTCTCTGCTAATTTAAACGAACTGCCAGCTGGCCCCGCTGGACACCAGAGATATCTTCTTTAAGCAGCCAGATGGCTTTGGGAACTGCTGTACCTGCTCTCTGAAGGCAAAGGTAGAATTAGGGGGCACTTAATTCTTCTGCCAAAAAATGGCTGGGCAGCACTGCTGCAGTGTGCTCTCCTGGAACCCCTCGCCAGCTCTGCGGGGACGATGCACAGAGCTGAGGCAAACCACAGCTAATTAGCTGGCCAAAGCCAACTGCAAAACAAGCCTCCCAAGGCTTTCCAGGCAAAGCTCCCTCAGCTACAGGCACACCTTGTCCCCAGCCCACATCTTCATCTGTGAGAATGAACTTTCCAGGAAGTCCCTGCCTGCTCAGAGCCGGGTAGAAAAGATTGTGTGCTATTTCTTGACAGAGAAATAACATAGTAATGTCACACTGACGTGGCACAGGGGACACAAGTCAGGGACTGTTTGTCCAGGCATTGTTTTGCCTCTGCTGAATGCAGCCAAGAAGTCAAGCCTGGTTTCTGAAGGAAGCCCTCCCTTGGCTCTCGGCCCCTGAATGAACGATGTGCTTAGCTGCACCATCGCTTCGGCTTCACTGGATGGAGACTTCAACTGACTCTCGGGGCTGATCGCCAGCCAGTAGTGAGAACTCACCTGTAATCATGCCATCCTCATCACTCCTTTGCTAATTACTCTGTTCAGACCCTGCCAGCAGCAGCAGCAGATGACTGCACAGTCACTGTTTGCTCGGGCTCCGAGGGAAAGCATCACCGAGCCTCTCTGCTCTGCAGAGCCCTGCTGGGGCAGGTAACACTGCTCTCCTGGGAAGGAAAGGAGAGCAGGAGGCCCAAACCAACCAGTAACCCTTCATGAGATAGAAAAAAATTCCAAGGACAAATTGCCTGCTTGGACTTACTACACTTAAAAAAAAAAAATCTAAAAAGAGCTATCCCCCAACCTGAGGAAAGTAGTTAAAATACCCTTTTTTGCAGTTTCCTACCAAATGCAGCAGTGGGGCAAGCTCTTAACACATTGTAGGAATGTTAAATAGCCCCAGTGTTTGAAGCACCCAGACAGGCTGAGGCATGCTGTGGTTGTGTTACCTGTGGGCACAAGCAAACTGAGCAGGGAAGCTGCCAAAAACTCTTCAGGTGTAGTTTTCCCAGCTCTGGGACTGTGAATGGTATCTCATGAGCCCTTTGGTACACTGTGATGTCTTGTTTGATACCTTCCTTCAGTGGCTCCCCTTCAGTCAAACCCATGAAATGCCAGTGGCACAGAGGAGAGAGTTTCTGGGAGCATTGCTCAGAGGTGTTAGCCCATCCAGCCTGTTCTGCCTGGGGCTGGAAAAGCAGATGAGGATTCCCCCATCATCTTTAAACAAGAGTCCCAAATGAAATGATCCACTTCAAGTACAAGGATTTAAAGAAATGTTTAGCCCTGGTGTGAATGTCTGAGGGTAGAGCAGCTGTTCTCTGTTTACTCTGCAGCCTCAGTTTGTTCATTCTCTTCTGGTTCTCCATGTGTTTCAGATATACCATCTACAGTTACATTTCTCCCTCTCTCTTTCTTTCATGTTCCTTTGCCTCCTTTTGTTCACCATCAAAGTCTCACAAGGTAAGTTTGTTTCTGTTCTTCCTCCTCCTCCTCCTCCTCCTCAAGTTCCAAGGCAGTTTCCCATGGAGAGCAGCGAGCTTCAGTCGGGGCCGGACAACTGGAATTCACTTTGGCCAGCGCTGCCCAAGTCCAGCCTTTACATGTGTGTGTCCGACTGTGTCTGTGTCTGTCCTGTGGCTGCACAGCCCCAGGGATGCTGAAAATCTTCACACAGCATTGAAATGCCCTTGGGGATGCCCCAAGGGCACCCTTGGAGCAGAGCAGGAATTTCAGCACTGAGAGCATCCTGAAACCACCCTCTGCATGAACCCAGCCCCAGAAGGACAGCCTGTGCATAGACTGGGTTCCTTTTGCCTCAATCTTACGTGCAATGGTTTACAGAAGTGCAATTTCAAGTAAACTTGATTCAATCAGTAATTTTGTGCACAGGCCCACTTAATCCTGAACCCAGAGCTGTCTGTTCTACAGAATTGCACCTCAGTTTTATTGCAGGCATATTAATGTAAAGCTGCTTCATACAGAACAGCTAGTCCTATGCAAGAAATGCAATAACTGTTTTCACATATAAACTATTTGATAAGTCTGAAGTATTGTAAGAAACAAGTTTAGCATAGGACAGGTCATTTTTTGGCTTATGGTCATGTAAAGAGACACGCTTGGCCACTGTAACTTCCTTCCAGCCAGTTTTAACAGTGACAGCCAGACTGAAAGGATTTCTCAATCTTAATTTTCTTATATCTCAATAAAGGCATGGCTGTACAAGTAGGTTACTCTTACTTTAGCTAAAGATTTAAGGCAGGCCCCACCTTTCTGGTCCATAGGGCTGTTTGCTTTTTTAACTCTGCTCCCTAAACAAATCAAACCCATGCCATAGACAAGCCCAAATTACAAGTTTCCAGCCAGCTCACATTGCCTTCAGAGCTGACTCACACTTAAAACATAAATGCATGTGAAATCATCATTTTGCCCCCTAGAAAAAGCTGTTTGAAAGAGATGAGAGTCTTTCTGTTCAGCTGCACACAATAGGCAGAAATTCAGTTAAGTGTCATTATTCTGTCCCTTGTGCTTGTTTAGCAGCAGGAGGTCCAGGCTGCCAAACCTGGGCGAACATGTGGGTTTTTTCCAAAGTACAGCAAAGTTCATTCGCTGGAGTCAATTCTTAGTTCAGCAAAAAGTCCATTAAAGATAGGAGTTCTGGCACCTGCTGGTATTTTATGTTCAGTTTTTCTAAGGGACTTAAAAAAGCCTAACATAAGGGTTAGAAAGAATATTACAAAGCATAAATGGAAAAGTGTTTGAAAAGTTAAGCATTCTTCTGATATAAAATTTCAGACTTCTTTGAAATTCAAAATATAAAAATGACAGACTACTTATGTTAGTTAAGCTAAGAAAAAAACCCCCTCCAGATTGAAAAAAGTTTTTTAGTTGAAAGATATTCACTGTGGCGGGCACTGCAAGTAAGGGCAGTTTGCTTCTTTAATAAGGAGATTTTTTGCATTGATACAGTCAGAATAACATGCTTGTCTTGAAAGGAAAGTGGGGAAAGCTTCTGGCGTAGTCATTGCAACCACTTAGGAAAGTGTTAAAAAATCCAGTATTTTTCTCATCATCCTGTACTAGCACAGGAGCTGCAGGTGCTCTGCTATTGCCCTTCCCTGCCCTAGCCCTGCCAGGGGATGAGGCTGTTCCCTGTGGGATTTGCAGCCTATGTGCAGGACAGTAATTATCTGGGTCCCCAGGAGCCCAAGGAGCTGTGACAAGCAGCAGGACAGGCTGCTTGAGCCCTTGGAACATCCATGTGGCTGCAACACACTGGGGACCCCAAGGGCTCTGCTGTCTTGGCTGGGAAGTGCATCAACCTCATGGCCACAGGAAGAGGAAAGGATGTGAAGGAACAGGGATCCTGGCAGTTTCCTTGGTTTTGCTGCTGAAAAGATTGGTTTCCTCCAGGCCCACTGGATGGCTGCTGTGCCCTAACAAAAGCACCTGTAATTCTGCTGGGCTGGAGCAAAGCAAGTGCAGAACCAGGCAGTGAGGATATCATTAGAGGCATCCCATGATCTGTGTTTGACACTTCATCCTGTGAGTCAAGGCATTCCCCTTCTCTTCCAGGAGGTGTTTGCTCACCTGTGCAAACTGCAGCACAAATTGTTTGCTGCTGGGGAGTGCTGTCAGCAAAAGCCAGCAGGGGAACGCAAAGATGGATAGAGGAAACCAACCTCCCTCCTACCTGGCAGTGCTCTGGGAGGATGAGGTTCAAAAACAAGTAGATCCCAAGGAGAGATGTGTGTGGGATGAACAAGGTACCAGGGCAGGGCTTGGGAACAGCCGTGTCTCTGGAGCAGGATACAAGGGCATCCATTTGCCCTGCACTGCAGGAAAACACACTCCATAAAAACTGTAGGTTATTGGGCTGGAATTGGTGACCACTGGTACCTGCTGTGCTCTCACAATCTTGTATTGGTTTCCAAAGACAGGTGTGTGCTAAGGAAGGCAGGAGCCTCCCCTGAAATGGAAAATGTAAACTCCCTCCCTCCAAATTGCTATAAATTTTAAATTAAGGGGCTCTCAGGCAAAATATATGGGAGCAGGAATAACAGTTCTTTACCAGTGGAAAAAAAAATTAAAAAATAAAATAAGCAATGCAGTAAACTAAAACAACACTGACAGAGTCAGAACATAACCTGACACCCTGCTGGTCAGGGTGTTGGTAGCAGTCCAATTGGAATTGTGGCTGCAGTCCTCCTGGAGTGTCAGGTGTGGCTCTGTTGGAGCAGGGATCCTGTAGAAGGGTGTAGTCTTCCTCTGAAGATCCAGTGGAAGAGTCAGTTGCTGTTCCTCTGGGAAAATCCAGTGGAGAAAGCCGTGCTGGTGTTCCAGAACCTCCAAATTTTATCTCTGGTAGGAATGCTTGGCTCTTCCCTCTGGGTGGAGCGTCTCCCAGTGGGATGCTGTAGTTGTTATCAGCCATGCAGTGACATTCAATAGCCTGTTATCAGCATGTGTCTCCCGGGAGGGAGGAATAGTTGTGGAAGAGATAAGGAAAACTGCCCACTGAACAGAAGACAGCTGCCATAGATGGCAAATAGAATACAATTTGCTTGACAATCCAGGACAAATCTCTTCAAGCAGAGGTGCCTGTGCCAGGCTGGTGGCAGGCAGGTGCCAGAGCAGCAGGGCTGGCTGCCAGCATCCACATGGCTGTGCCCAGGAAGGAGGCAGCACCAGGCAGCTGTTGGCTAAAGCAGGGCAGGGGTTGCCCTGGGCAGCCTGGCCACGAGGGAGAATGTGGCAGCCCCCCTGTTTTCCCACGTTTTTTTTTATTTTTGCCACTCCTGGTAAACCAGGCTTGTGGCTTGCTTGAGCCTCACCGAGGGTCCTCATTTGGAATTAACTCTAATCGTGTTCCCTTCCCCTCCCTCCTCACAGGCTACAAGGAACAGGGGATCCCACAGCAGCTGTAGTGGCTGGGACAAGTATGGTCAGAGAAACACGGCGAGAGATTTCCTTTGGCAGCCGTGGGCCACGGACCTTTTCATTACCCTTTGTCTCTCTTCTTGTCCCCTTTGTTTTGTCTCCCTGTGTCTGCCCGGTCCTCGTGCCCGTCCAGCGGAGCGGAGATGCAGAGCAGCCGGCGCAGACTTGCACTGACGCCCCGAGCAGCGGAGATGAGGCAAGCACGGCTGGCCTTGGACTGGTCCCAGCCAGCAGGAGGTGGGCGGCCCACGAGGAGGACAGGAGGACAAGGGTGCCAGGACAAGGAAACGCCCTTGGCAGAGGTGGCACCTGGGCATGCAGCTGAACCAAGGGAGGGGGAGATCCTGCCTTCCCTCTGCTCCAGGGGGAGGTCGCTGAAGAGATTTTGCCTCCTTTTTATGCTCGCTGTTAAAGGACGCTGGCTGTGAACATCAAATGCCAAGGAGCTGTTCATAGATACACGTACAGGATGTAAAAGCAAACCAGTGGTACTTTTTTCCTGCCCCGAGATTCCGTCTGTGACTGCTCTGCAGTAGTGGAGGGTCCAACCCAGCCCTCTCTGCTGCCTGTGTAGATATGATGTTCACTGAAGCTCTGTCCCCGCAGATGTCTTGAGAAATGTGCTTGCTGTAAATTGTATTGTACCGCTGAAGTGACCGGGGCCATCCCCTGCTTCCACCCGCTGCCACCGTGCAAAGACCAGAGCTCCCACCAGCCCAGGGGACACTTTTCCTAGCACAGGACTGGCATCCTGCAGCACCTTGCCTCTAGGGCAGCAAGTACTGCCCAAAGCCTCTCGTATAAACAATACTGGGGGAGCCAAAGAACCTTTCCTGCCCCTGAAAGGGACTTGCTGGCAGTGTCTCCATGCTTTGGAAATGGATCCCCTTAGAGCACAACAAGTGCTCCTGGCTGAAGCAGCATCCCAGCTCTGCTTCCCCAGGTAAGTATCCAAAACTCCAGGATCTCCACCTGGTACTAGACAGGTGCTTGGGAGCTGTTGTGGTTGGAAGGCCCGTGGCCAAATAGGGTGGGGCTGTGATTTCATGGTTTGAACACCATGTGCAGAGTTGCAGTAGCTGCAGGTGGAGTGATCCCTCTGACTGCACTAGGGTGAGAGGAGCTTGGCTTGGTGCCAGCACCTGGATGCTTTTCCTCCCCAGAAAGAAGGCAGGAGGAGCCCTGCTGAAAGAGGGCAAAGCCAGGCTGCTCACACGCAGGGAGGGCCCTTCCAGCCAGAGGAGTTTCACGCAAACCCTCTGCCAAAACCAGGAGCCACCCAAGCGTGGCAGAGCTGAGACCCACTCCCAGCCCACTGCTCCTGCCAGGAGGCAGATGGTGAGAAAGGGATGGCAGCAGACCCCACTGCCCTGCAAGTGTCCAGCCTCTCCTGCTATGATGGTCTCCTTTTAACAAAGATTTTTATTTTTCACACAGAACAGGTCCTGTCAGCTAAAATGCCTCCTGTTGTAAAGAGAGCTGGGGTGTCAAAAAGCAGCAAGTGCCCTGAGCTGCCCACCAAGGGTGGAGGAGAGCCCTGTGCTGGGCAAGACACCTGTCAGTGATCCCACAGAGAGCTCCTGGGGTAGGAAGCTCCTTGGGTGTTTTGGTGCAAACCTCTGTCTTAGCCTCCCCACAGCCCCTGCTGTTCTCCTGATGCCTGGGCATCCTGTCTGGATGTAATGCAACACCTCTCTTCCCAGAAAGTTTCCTCCCTGCCCAATGCCCACACTGTGCTGTGAGCCCACAGCCTGTGGAAAGCAGGCATCAGTACCTCTTTGCTATCTCAGCTCAGGAGATCTTTCTTCAGGGCTGAGGATAAAGCAGCATCCACAGTCCCAACTAACTTGTGGCGGGAGAGGATCCCTCCAAACTATGCCTATTTATCCAATGCAGGCATCAGAAGGGATGACAGACTTTTTTCACTTCACCCTTCTATGGCTGGGCACTATGAAAAGCTTTAGGCTACATGAACAGGAGGAAGGGGCAGAGAATTAGGAGCCTTGGGAGCACCACCTTTCATTGTGAAGATGCTGGCTCAAGCATTTCCTCTGATCTCAGATTAATTGGAAAAAAATATAAACAAGGAGGCAAATTTGTAACACAAACAATTAATTGTACATTTTACCAAGCCAGACTTCAGGCAGGGCAGTGTATTCAGGCAGCTCTCAGTATAGAGTAAGGAAAAAGGACAGGTCTCCTAAGCAAACCCATGGCAGAAGCATAGGAATAACTCAGGCTGCATTTCTCTGGCCTCACACCCTAAACTGTTGCTTGTATTGCCATGCTGGACAGACAGAAGCAGGTATTTAGTCATTGCCCAGTATCCAAACAGGGATGCTGAGCTCCACTTTTTGAGCTACTGCATAGAAAGTGAAGATCATGCACGGTGCAGACAGGAAGACTTTGCATTTGTCATTTTAGAGGAAAAGATATGAAAAACCACCAGTTTTTAGAGCGACACAAGCCACACAACACAGGCAGCAGAGAAGCAAAGGTTTCCTTGGAAGACAAGTACCAGTTGGTGCTTCTCAGGGTGCTTCTCAGCTAGGACAGGGCTGGAAGTGCTCCAGAGGAAAAGCAGCCCAGTTATCCTGCCAGGATGCCAGGCTGCAGCCAGCCACAGTTACCTTGCTTTGCCAGGGAGAGGCGTGGGGGACAGCAGCAGCTGGAGAAAACCAACCAAGCAGGTCAGTGGTGAAAAGCCAAGAGCCATCTGGGACCTTCCCTAAAGCCAGGGGATGAGCTCCTCAAGAGCACCACTGCCACAGCGATGGCCAAAAGGATTTCTGCTCACAACATTCAACAATTTCAAGTGTCTTTGCCCATTTCTACCAAAGGGACTGGTTCAGGGAGTGGCCTGTGCTGTGCATCTGCAGCTCTGTGGCTTGCTGGGCTGTACAGGTGTTACAGAACGGAGCATTCCCTGTGAGACAGACCATCTCTGCTCCTTCATTTCCCACCTGAGAAAAAAAGGAATAAATAGGATCCTAACCAGCAGCAAATGGGGAATCTGCAGCACATCTGGAAAACACCTTCACAAGCTGCTGCTGTCATCAGTGAGAACTCTTTTTTGAGGTCTGTAACTGGCCCTGAAGCCACCAAACCACTTGCCTGCTCAGCTGCAGCACGTGCAATGCCAAAGAGCAATGGTTCCCCCTCACCTTTGCCAAACCAGAATGGCTGGGCCAAGTGCAAACACCAAACACTGTCTAAGCACCAAGTTAGCTGTGCTGTGGTGTCAGGATGGGTGTGCAGGAGCCCCTGCAGACATGGATAACAGGCCATGGATAAAAGGAACCAGGCAAAACCTTGGAAGAGGAGCAGCAAGTGTGGCTTAAGAAAAACTTCTGGTGCCTGTGAAGCTGGGTTGTGGATTTAAATGTGTAGTGGACAGGCAGCACAAGATAGGGGAGGAATAAACAAGATGACATTTTCACTGGGCCTAAAGTGCCAAAAGTCACATCCCCTGTGGTATCAGATATCAGATCAGCAGCAGATGCCCCATCCCAGAGACCCAGCACCTGCACAAAAGGTCCCCTGGGAACAAAAAGGGACAGAATAAGCTCCTCATCAGCATCACCAGGGTTTTGCTGAACTTCTGGGCCACACTTGGTGCTGTCTATCTCTGTGCTCTAGTGAGGATGGGAGAATTAGACTGGCTGGGAAAGGACTGAATGGAAAAGCTGCCCTCCCTGGGATGGCTGCAGGTCTCTGAGAGCATCACTTTGGTTAGGTCTGGGTGCTGCCTGCATTTATTGCATGAAGGAGTCTGAGCCCTGCACAGATAAGGTGTGGGATTTATAATTTACTTTCCCATTTTGCTCTGTAATTTTTTTTCTTATCCTTGATCTTCTTATTGAATTGGTGAAGCCAAGAAAACACTCAGTGCACCACTTCAGAGGCACTGAAATCTGTCAAATGTCACCCAGGACAAAAAGCCTTATTTTTGCCTATTGTGGTAATTTGCTTAATTGATTTTAATTAGAAGCAGTTTCCCACTCTCAGCTTTAGGACAGGAGCCACTTCATAGATTGGCCTTGCTACCAGGCAGCAAGCATCAAATTGCATTTTGCCCAAGGCAGTCCTGTGGTAGTAATAAAAATGATAAATCCCTCTGCTTTTTCCAATAGCCCTGAATACAACTGGCACTGCCAGTCTCCCCCCAGCCCAGGTGTGAGCAGCAGCCTGCTCTCAGGCAATGGTGAGATTGGCTTCACCTTGGCTTCAGGTCTCCCCATGGCAAGCAGTGGGGAGCTCAGAGACTGAGCCCAGGGCAGGGCTGTGCTCACCAGGGGGTTCTGCTCTTCCCATCTTTAGTACCACACCCTCCACTATGATTGGTTTTGCTCCTCTCACAAGAGCTCAGAGTTCTGTGGGCAGCTGGCAGCATCTGGAGAGGTGTGTCTGGTGCCCACAATCCAGGCACTGACAAGAAGAGCCACGCTGTGAAGACACAGGTACGAGTGAAAATCTGGAGCTTTCCCCTATCAACAATTACTTTCTTTCTCTTTAGGGTAAAATTAACCACCCAGCGCTTTCACACCTCCTTCCGAAGCACTGCAGAGGGGACAACACCTCCACCTCCAGGAGGCTGGATAACTCCCTTCCCTCCTGTGGGAGCAGCTGCAAACCAGCACAGCCAGAGGGCACAGCCCGAGCCCCTCCTCTGGTCCGAAGTGCATGGCCCCCAGCTATCCCAGCACCATCACCTGCTTTGTAAATGTAGATGTTTGACATGCCAGTTTTACAGCTAAAGAGTGATCGTGGGTAATGAAGAATAAATTCAGTTGCTTCACCCCCATCTGCCAGCAACAGAATTTTCTGCTGCTCCTTTCTGATTGTGAAAACCAGGTTTCTCCAAAAAAAAAAAAAAAAAAAAAAAAAATCAGAGGCGTGTATGTGTGTAGTGGAAGAAAAAAATCCACTGTGGTCTAAGTGTAAAACACAGAAGCTAAAAATAATTTTGGATCTTTCCTGCTTTTACAAAGGTGAACAAAATATGTATATGATCTAACTGAAATACTAAACCAAAACCAAATATTGGCGGCAAAATCTAGAGTCCAAAGTTGCAGGAGCAGCTGTAGAAAATGGGAATAACATGCAGGCCTCTAGCTTTTGGCCTGAGGGGAGAGAATGGGAGAAAACATTAGATATTTTTCTGTTACTCTGTAATTTATGGATATCATAGTTTAACCCCAGCTGGCAACTAAACACCAAACAGCTACTCTCTCACCTACCCACAACCCCAAACAAAAAGCAAAAGAAAAAAAGGGCTTTAATGAAATAGCTTCTTGGTACCTGAACCCAGCTGGGTTGAACAACTGATTTACTACTCATTGGAAAGCAATTCCAGGTAGGAACCAACCCAGTGAAAAAACAGCTTCATCCTGGATCAACCCAATCATTGCAATGCAAGGCACAGTACCATTTTCCCAAGTTCATTGGTGTTGCCAAATCCGTATTTACCATGGAAAAGGTGCTTTGGCAGGTGACCCCCACCCTCCCAGCCTTTTGCCTGGTTGGCCATCCTTGCTGCAGGGGTTTGGGGGTGGTCACAGCTGGGCAGGTCAGTGGGGCTTTGTGCTGGGAGCAGCTCTGGCACAGGCAACCACGGGTCAGGAGAGTTAGGTGTGAGAAGGGACTCCATCTGCGCCACACCCTGTGCTTCCCAAGACACAAAGCTGCATGTCCCTCCCTGTGTGCACACCTTTTATTAAAGACCTTCCAGTTGTGCTGCAAATTGCCCTTAAGCCTTGCTGGGAGTGTTGTGCTGAGCTGTGCGGGCAGGAAGCTGAAGATCACAGTCCCAGTATTCTCCAGAGGGCTGTTTTATTCCTTGCCTCCTGCTTGTTCTGGCTGACCCCGCAGTTCACACACATGCATACACTCCAGCCAGGATGCATTTTATTGCTACCCAGCCCAAACTGCATCCACTGCAAGACACCACCAAGAGTTCCTTGGCATCTAAACCCAAGGTACAAGGAGACCCTGGCTACTCTGACATTCCTCCCAGGTAAAAGCCATGTCTTCTCCCACACACTTGCTAACCATGGCGTCACAACACAGCCCTGTGTTTTCCAGCTGTTTTTGCTTCATGCTCACACACATGATGCACTTTGAAGCAGTGCTGCAATTTATTTCCCAAACTGGCACTCAGCATTCCCATCCCCCTGTGGGAGCAGCATGGTGCAAAACCCCAGGTCACAGTAGCACCATCTGAAGCAGGGTTAATTACAGTGAATCCCACCAGAGCTCAAGCTAACCACAACCCATCCTTCCTCCTCCTGTCATCTGTATAAATACCTAAGCCAGGCAAAAAGTCAAGTCCTGCTTCTCTTGCACCCACCCAAGTGGCCAGAGGGAAGCAACAATGCCCTGTCCCCACTGCTGGAATGGTGCAGTGGGAAGTGAAGGTTTTGTTCAGGCTCTAAGAATGGCAAAGGCCAGAGCAGCTCAATTCATCTTCCAGCTCTGAGAACGCCTTCAACAGGCAGGTGGAAGGGAATGGCACATTTTGGCTAGGGATCAAAACAGGGGCTCACCTCTCCCAGCACTGCTGGAGATGATGGCAGTGCTCCCCCAGACACCCAGCAAGCCATCCCACCCCACACCGGCACAGGCACTGCTCCAAGGCTGGGAGGGGGATTGCTGGCTCTAGTCTGTGTGCTCTGTGGTTTTGGCCATGCACGGGTAGCTCAGATTTTCCACCTTAGGAAGGAGGGAGCAGGGGCCTGCCCACCTGTGCCATTTGCACCTTGCTGGTGAGCCCACCTTTCCTTTTCGTACTGGAGGCCAAACTGAGGGGTTGCAGAGGACCATTTGTATGCCTGTTTATATCACTGAGTGGTATTGGATTGTGACTTCTTGTGTTTTGATACTGTGGATATTTTTTTTTAAAGTTAAATATATTCTATTGCTGGACAGCTGGAATGAAATGCAGAGTCTCTTTGTGTCACCTGGAGAAAGCCCATCATCCCTGATTCCAAATGGGTTTTCATTCTCCTCCCACCAGTGAGTGATGGAGAGCATCCAGCAGACACCAGCCCACACCCACATCCCCTGAGGAGAGGAGGCAGAGGCCAGGGCATGGCTTCCTTAAGAAATTCACAACCAGAACCTTCCAGAGCAGTAGAAGGCTGGTGAGGAACCTCACCTGAACCTCTGGAATGGAGACAAGGGAGGGGGAAAAGCCACCCCGTGTTGCCTTGTGCACATGCCTACCAGCAATCCTTCTTGACAGGGTTTTGTTCACAATTTTAACATTTTAATATGACTCCAGGTGCATTATCCCTGCTCCCTGTGAGAGAACAGCCCACGTGCTGTCAGGAGCTTGGCCACAGACACCCGAGCAGAGCTGAGCAGGTGGCAGAGCCTTCCCATGAAAGGCAGCTCTGCCACAAGGGCCAGCAGCTTGTCAGAGCATTGATGAACATTGCCACAACACCACTGCTCTGCTCCCTCCCCAAAGTCACTGTGGGTAGGGAGGCACATGGGAGATCCCAGCTGGATCAGGGGGCCAAACTCTGAGTTGGTGCAAGACCAGCAGGAAGGGTCTTCTCACACCCCATGGCTTTGAGGGCTCTGGGAGGTGAGGCAGAAGCTCCTTTCACCTGCTGTATGTTTCTATTCAGCCCTCAGCAGGGGAAGCACTTTGGGATGAACACTGACACATAGTAGTGCGATACTATTAATACACCCATGCAGGCACACCAGCACGTGGCAAGCCCACAAGAGAGATCTGGGATGATTATCTCAAAGAGATTTCTTTAGCACCCTGCTAATGGAACCATCTCAGAAGGGGAGGAGGAAAATCAGCAATAAACCACACAAAAGCAAAGTTAAAAACTGGAGGTTGGTGGAGACAGGTGAGACACAGGGAAAACCTCCATGCCACATTTCTGGGCACCCACCTCTTCCACACCCAAGAAGGGCCACAGCCAGCACACACCTCACCCTGAGTTCAGGGGTGAACTGGCTCACCCCCCAACTCAAGAGCAGAGCCAGCCCAGGTGCCCTCAGAGCACAGCCCAGCCCTTGCTCTGTGCAGCACACAGTGGTGGCTCCAAGGAAAGTCCCTTTCCAGCGACCACCACACAACAGGGACAATTCCCTCCCTCTCCACTTGCATCCTCCCCAAACCAACTCACCTCCTTACAGCTGCCGTACACCTCTAGGATACATCCCGTCCTGCAGCAGCTCTTGCTGGGAGCCCCACGGGGCTGCAGCCACAGCACCAACACCACTCCAGGGTGACGGGGAGCAGCTGTGACCTCCTGCACGCTCCAGAGCAATCAGTGTCACCAGGTGGGCTTTGCATGAGGCCGTCTGGGAGAGTTTGGGCTGCTGGCAGCTGTTACACTGGTGGGGCAAAGGCAGCTTGTGCAGGAGGGCTGGGGTCAGTCCCACCTTGCAGCTCACCCCAAAAGGGAGCCAGGGTCTGCCCACCAGCAGCTCTCACTGCTGGCCATGCAGAGACATGGAAATACACCACCTGGATATTGGATCATTTAGAGATATACACATTTACAAAAGCATAATCTTAACTGTGTTCTTTTCAAACTAGCCTGAGCAACCATTAAAAAAAAAAAAAAAGTCTGTGCAGAGGAGGGTTATTGCGAGGTATGCTTGTACTACCTCTAAACCTCAAAGCCATGCAGTCCAAATACACATTCAGATCCACATGCAGCTATGAGAAGGTAGCACCTGATCCTAGGAGGTAATACTATAATTACAGGATATTTCAGAGCTTGTTTCCACAGGAAAACTGCAGCCCACTGGAAGAGGATGTGAGCTGCAAGACTGGGAGGAGTGTATGCTTATGTCTGGGGCACACCAAGCATTGCACTGCCAGAGATGTGAAGGGAAGTTGTGGGTTTTTAAGGGACAGGCCTTGATTTCAGGCCAGACAGATGAATGCCAGATTCCAGGCTTAAATTCTGTTTATTCAAGGGCCCACATGCTGCTGAGCAGCCTGGACAGCACAGGGATTAGGAACCACTGTCCCTGCAGAGACAGGGTGTGAGTGCCCTGGCACTTTCAGAATGCTGCAACCTGCCCTGCTGGAACCTCTGCCCACCAAAGCAGCCACTGTCACTGCCTGTCCCACCAAAGCAGCCACTGTCACGTGAGTGCCCTGGCACTCTCAGAATGCTGCAACCCGCCCTGCTGGAACCTCTGCCCACCAAAAGAGCCACTGTCACTGCCTGTCCCACCAAAGCTGCCACTGTCACTGCCCGTCCCACCCGTGGCCAAAGGATACAAGTGGTTCAAAGGACAGGATGGCACCAACCTGCCCTGGGGATGCTCCCTGGGCAGCAGCACTGTGGGCTGTGCCATGCTGGCTCACAAGTGCTCAAGAGACATCCTCTGATCCCCCTGCAAACCACAGGGCCGGTGAGCCTTCCTGCAGAGCCATTTCCCATGGGAAAAGCAGCTGGGCACGTGCAGAACGTGGCAGTCGCAGCAGGGCACGTTTGCAGCGCCTGCTTGGGGCTGATGAATGGTGGGAGGAAGCACATGGCACCCTGCAGAGCCCACCCACGGGTCCTGCCATCTCCCCTCGCTGTTCCGGAGGCATAAAAAGAGATGAAATATGAATTTAGCTCTAGAAAAAGATACCACGCTGCCAGTGGGAAATGTTTTTTTTAGCCACAGATCTTTTGCAAATATCTGTAGCATCTCTATCTTGCTACTACAGACTCCTGCTGCTTTTTCTTCTGACATTCCCTTCCCTGAGCCAACCCCACTGCTACAAGAGAAGAAGGTCTCTGTGTGTTTGTCCCTGCAGCAGTTCTGGGGGTCCTGCCATGGAAAG